CCAACGCCTTCTCCAAAAGGCTTCTGTGTTGGATATATGGATTGCTGTTTGCAGAAAGGGCTTACACAAAACTGTGAATTAGCATTTTACGTGCCTTGTTCAAGATTCCTGTACAAGTAACCAAAAACTAATGCAGCTGATACTTTGAGATACTACTAGTAAACTTACATTTTATTAGTTCAATGGCTTGTTTATAAATCCAAGCTCATTGCATATGTACCTGTAGAAAAGTGAAATGAAGTCATCTATCCTAGGCCTTCTTAAAATATGGGTGTATGTCAACTATTTTTGTTCTCATTTACCTTTATGTTACTATATATATCTGTAATATGGGTACTATGTATAAAGATATGTGTCACACGAGATGTCTGTCATAGGACAAAGACCTTCTTTTTCAGTCAGGCTTTTAAGCAGTAAGTGAGGGTCCAAGGAACGCTCTGTTTATAAAATTTAGATATTTAAAAATGTTTTTAAAATGTTTCTAAAATATTTTTAAAATCTTCATTAATGTTTAATTGGATTTTAATACAGGGTAGAAAAAAGCAGAAATCTTGTCAGGTTTCTTGGAAAACTTGGGATGTTTAGATGTGTCCTCCTTTACTTTATACTCAGCTGTGTCCTTGCGGTGAGTGTTGAAATGCTTGCTCATGTTTTATTGTTCTGTTCTTTCTACAGAGAATTGTGCAAAGAGTTAAATTGCCCTTTGTTAATCAAGAAGCCAGGAGGTTCATCTGAATTTTATGTATCTTTTCTTCTCACAGACCAAGATAAACAAGTAGCAGCACAGATAGCCAAATTTTTAGTGGTAGCAATTAAAATTAGGTAAATTATGATTTTAAAGGAGTAACCTTATGTAGTTTTTTCTGACTAATTTTGGTAGGTATTGTTATCCGATGTGTTTGTACTCATCTATTTTATTTATTTATTTATTTATTTATTTATTTATTTGTTTGTTTGTTTGTTTGTTTGTTTGTTTGATTTCTATCCCAGCCATCTAGACCAAAGGTCTACTCTGGGCGGTTTACAAATTTAAAAACAATAAAACCAAAAACATATATTATAGATCCAAGGTAGCGAAAGAATAAGATATTAAGATATGGCAGGAGGGAAAGCCTGCCCAAATGGCCAGGTTTTAAGTTTATTCCTGAAAACAGCCAGAAAGGGAGTCAGGCAGATCTCCACTGGCAAGTTGTTCCAAAGGCGAGGGGCCATGGCAGAGAAGGCCCTGTTCCTATTTCTTTCCTTCTGGATCTCCCTCGGCTTTAGGCTCCTCAGCCGCCCAGTATGGCTTGAACGAGTGACTCTGGCAGAACTGGGTGGGAGAAGGCACTCTGCCAGATATCGAGGTCCTAAACCATTTAGGGCTTTATATGTAATCATAAGAACTTTGAAATAAATGCGGAAATGAATGGGCAGCCAATGCAAGGCAGCCAGAGTGGGGGAAATATGTTGGTATCTTTTCACCCCTGTAAGAAGTCTGGTGCTGCATTTTGTACCATCTGACGTTTCCGAGTCAGTCTCAAAGGCAGCCCCATGTAGAGCGCATTATAGTAGTCTTATCTTGAGACTACGAGCACATGGACCAAAGTGGTGAGTGCCCCTACATCAAGATAGGGACACATTTGGGCAATCTGCCAAAGGTGGAAATGTGCAGAACGGATGTCTGACGACACCTGGTTTCCATGGTGAGCACCGGGTCCAGATGTATACCCAAACTGCAAACCTCACTCTTGGTGGTAAGTCCCCCCCCCCCAAGGAAATGGGACACCCACCCAAAGGACCTCTGTCTTGCCCAGGTTCAGCCTCAGTCCATTCACCTGCATCCATTGCTGAACAGCCTCCAGGCAGCGCTCGAGGAATGAAACAGCATCCACTGTTCTTGGAAAAAAGGAGATATAGAGCTGAGTATCATCAGCGTACTGATGACACGAAGCCCCACATCCCCTGATGACCCCTCCAGCAGCCTCATATAGATGTTAAATAGTATTGGAGAAATAACTGAGCCCTGTGGGACCCCCACAATTCAGGCTCTACGGGGCTGAGAAACTCTCTCCAATCTGCACTCTCTAGGGACGGTCCTCCAAGAAGGAACAGAGCCAGGCAAGAGTCAGGCCACCAATTCCCATTTTGGAGAGCCTCCCCAGAATACCGTGGTCGACAGTATCAAAGAAGGCTGAGATATAGAGGAGGACCAGCAGAGACATTTTGCCCCTGTAGGCCTCCCTCAGTAGGTCATCAAACAGGGTGACTAATGCTGTTGCCGTGCCGTGGCACAGCCTGAAGCCCAACTGGAATGGATCCAGGGCATTGGTTTCATCCAGAAGAGCCTGCAGCTGATCGGCCACCACCCTCTCAACTACCTTGCTGAGAAAAGAAATGTGGGCAACAGGCCTATAATTACCAATATTGTCTGCCACCAAGCTCGGCTTCTTCCTAATGGGCCTAATGAGTGTCTCCCTGAGGGCAAGGGGAACCTTGTCCTCCTGGAGAGAGCCATTAATTCTTGTCATAGCCCATTCAGATGTTATAGGCCTGGCTGCTTTGATTATCCAGGCCGGGCAAGGGTCAAGGGAGGAGGAGGTGGCACAGCAGCGGTCAAGCACTCTGTCCGCCATGCCTGACGTCACAGGCTAAAAGTGGTTAAGTCTCATTGGGCAAGATGGAGCACTGGACGTCTCTGCTCGATCCAGTTTTCAAATGGGGGTAAGATCCCGGCAGATGGACTCCACTTTTGATTAAAAAAAAAAAGCTTCAAATTGGTCGGGTGAGATGCTAGTGGGAGGCCAGTTACTATGACCAACTCCAGATAGATCATGGACTATATGGAAAAGTTTATTTTATTTTATTTATTTATTGTATTTATACCCCGCCTATCTAGTCATTTCGACCACTCTAGTTCAGCCTGCTGATTGGAGGCTTTGCATTAATTTTGACTCAAATGCGTTGTCTCTGTATTTTTGTAGATTTTATACTGTACTTTGCTATGGCATATGACTAATGCAAATAAATGCTGATTGATTACTCAGCTGTGCACATCTAGGACATTTCTCAAATCTTTAAGGGTGGGGTGGGGATATCACTTTATCTCACCAATCTGAGCAGCAAACAGCACTCGGTCATAAAAGTTTGCTACTAGATAGAAATGATGTTGTTGACTGCAGAACAACAGCAGGACTGGAAGAACAACAATGAGAAATACACTGTTGGACCATAAATGGAACAAATAATATGAAAAGCAGATTGAGAAATCATCAGCAGAGAAGGCAAGACTATATACACAGGATTTAAAATTGGGGTGTGGTGGGATAAAGGAAGAGTCAAACAACATTTCAAAAAATAATCTTATTTTATTTTTTTAAAAAACCCTTACAAACTATCTCAGGTGCCTCAGCACTAGAAGACAGGCTACAACAGAAATACTTCCGTTTTCTAAAAGTAAAATCCATTTTGTGCATCTTACTGCACAGGCAACGTTTGACACTGTACAGCAAGCACCAAAAGTTTATTTTGCATCTGCCCAATAATTCAGTAGAGAAGTATTGAGCTAAAGAAAGCCTAGTATCCCATTAACTTGATAATATAGCCCGTGACAGAGAAAAGATGGCACCACTGGCTGTTTTTCACAATGCATAGCTTGGTACAAATTATTAGAACATGAGCAAAATACCTTATTTTTAACAGATATCATGTGCTGTACAAAGTCAAAGTGAACACATTTTATCACAGCTGCCAAAATCAGATTGGCTAAAAACAAGGGGTGGTGGTTCTACAGTTCATTTGTTGTCCAATGCCTTCAGTGCAATATCACCACAATAGTAAGCATTCTTGCAATGCATCAAGATGAAACTACTTAGTAATATATAGCTGGCAACCATAGTAATGCATTTCTGATCAACATATCAAACACATTCATTTTCTCGTGATCAAAGCATAAAAATAGGTATTTGGTAACAAAATTAAAATCTTCAGTATTTTCCAGATCTGAACTACATTTCAGTGAAAACAAAAGCATCCAGCACTCCAGCAATGTTAGCTTTTAAGCCTTTATTGGTACAGTGTACCAACTGCATGCAATAGCCTCACATGGCTGGGATTACCTCTTCAATTGAATTCAATGTCCACAGCAGACGTGGACGTCAGCAAATGCGACAGCTACGACACTGCCGTTAACTGAGCACAGACATTAAATCTTCACAGTGAGCCTTTTAAAAACACCTAGGATTAGTTTGTAAGCATATTATTGCTTTTAAAAAAGACAGACTGACCTAGATTGTCACTAGCTGGGCCCTTCTCAAACTCCCAGTCCTTCAGGAGTGCTAATTATTTGGAATGGAGCACTTTCCCTATGATCCCTTCATTAAAAACTAAAAACAACCCCCCGCCTTCCTCGCTTTTACTGCTATACATACAGCTAGTTTTTGTATATCTGTATGAGCCATCCGTGCATTTCCTGATCCCATTCAACACCTTCCATGCCTTTTTATTACCACATCCCTGTGAATGCCTCAGGTAGAAGCTTGACATTTAATTCTTTTGGAAATCACCATTTTGAAGGCTGGAATGGCAGCAGGTGCTCCCCACATTTAGACCTCAAACTTGATGTAAATCCACACACTTTGATGGTTGCACACAAGAGTGACAGCATTTAGAGAACTAGTCTCCCTGCTCACATATAGCCTCATATCCTGCTTGATCAGTTAAGAGATGGAATTACATGGTTTGCATCCGAACATGCTGAAATCTTTTCATTGTACTGCTGCTCCTATGTCAGTGTTCACCATGTTTCAAGATACAGTTGCTATACTTCTCCTTGCAATACACAGCCAAAATATCCTTAAGATCCTTCACTATTAACAATACAACTTACACATTCAGAAAAGCAATACCGAGAAGTTGCATCAGTGCAACTATTTAGAAGAGAGGCACAAGGAAGTAATATTTACTGTTTGTACTAAAAGAAAGACGTAAGTTTTATTTATTTATTCGATTTTTACGACTAAAAGAAAGATGTACGTTGCACTGTACTCCTGCCTAAGATTTTTATCAAGTCAAAGTAGGCAGGGGTAATATAGTTGCCCTTTCAAGTAGGCCCTCCCCTGGCTGCGAGTGTCTCAAATATATATATAACTAGAAGTCACACTTTAGTAATAGGCTGGAGTATCTAGTGAATATTGAGTGTTGGCATTCAACCATAACATGCAGGTTTTGAACACACAGACCGAGCTCATAAGTCTGAAAACATTAACACTTTGGAGTGTCAATTTAAACTCTAAATTAAAAATAATATGCACACCTTCCTATGCATCTCTCTTAATGCATCTATCTTCATTATTCATGCTGAAACATAAATAACTGATACAGTCTGCACTGTAATCTCCTGTTCAATGTGACCACTTCTTTCTTACATCCAGTACAGAAGAGGAGTGATATCAAGTTACTTTTTTCATTAGTTCCAACTGAAACGCTGGTTTTTGATCCCCTTTCAACATCCTAGTTAAAGGCAGATTTCATGCAGTTGCACTCTGCCTTGATAAATTTTTTGGTTCTTTACTTGGTGCACACCAATCGTCTGCTTCTATAGCAGTCTGATAATGTTTGCAAGCGGATTTGTTGAAAACAGGAAGTTTTTCTACTGATTCTGTGGACAAAGCCTAGAAAGGAAGAGAAAAAAATATAGTTAGACATCCCTATTATTTTCTGAGGGGGGGGGAAGTATTATTCATTTGGGTCTGGTTATTAGCTAGCACTCTTTCTGGAGGAAACTTTGGTTGAAAATCAAATGTATGTGGCCTGCCAGCATAAAAAGGATCATGATAATGTTACATTTTGCAAGCTTTTGAGGTGGATGTTTATAACAGTACATGGTTCTAGTTATTTCAAAGATAGAATATTGACTAACATGAATGAGGATTTTTTCTGCAACATGGGACAACTTCCCTTCATATTTATGGAATATTGAATGATTGTTTTTCACATTAAGTGGTCTGGCTGGATTTTGTGAAGACGGTACTTCAATAGTACTGTCATATCAACATATATACCATGTGACATGGTAGAAAGTTCAAGATGTCTAAAAACTGAGGAAAAAAACAGGAGAAAAATATATAAACACACACAAACTAATTAAAATTGATAGCCTACTGTTGTTACTGGTGAACCTAAATTCATAGCAGTGGCATTGCTATGAAACTGATTTTAAATACTAACAACAGGACTAATTGGAGCAGTACAATATTATTTAGAAAATGAGGAAAGGAATAAGGAGAATTTAACATACCTTTAGGTAAATAATAGCATCTGTCCCATAACCAGAAATAGAACACAGATGAAGGTCTCCATGAAAGTATTTAGCATACAGGCGAGAAATTGGTAAGCCATAACCAAAACCAGCCTAGAAAGAAATATGGCATTTAATAAACTTTCTTTTACAGAACTACTGTAAGAGTCAGATAATTTACTGGTACAAAGCCAAAATGAAAACCTCTATTCTGCTATGATTATTCAAAAAGAGGATGTAAGGAGAACAAAGGCATTGTCTTTTTGTTATTTCACTAGTGCTTATCCTGCAAGCAGGATCTGAAGGCCTTAGGAATGGACCTCAACAGATGGGAAATTTTGATATCTGAGCATTCAGCCTGGAGGCAGGCAGAGCAGCATGGCTTCTGCCAATTTGAAGAGGCAGTTGTTCAGCAGACTGAGGCAAAGAGGCAGTCCCGAAACCAGCAAAATTAAGGAGCTGGACAGGACATATTGCCACTCTCAAATTGGCCTTCTCAGCCACACTAGACACTATTTTAAGACCTCTATTCAGAGCATGTTAGCATAGTCTCGAGACTGAAGGATGCCTACTAAGTGCTTATTTCAGTTGCATTTCACCTTCTTGATCCAATTAAATCTACACCAGGACAGAATGGTGCAGTATTACTGTTTCAGGATGTTTTTAGGAACTTGCTTATCATACTCAGCAATCTTGAATAGAAAGGTAATTTTTTTTTTTTAGGAACTTGCTTATACATACTCAGCAATCTTGAATAGAAAGGTAAGGAGGGTGAAGCAAGATATCCAGATACTGTATGTACTTATTTCGTGAACCAGCTAACTGGCCCACTGTTACCTGAAATTTTCACTGAAGATGGCAAATATGGATAGGATCATATGACTAAATGTTTTGCGGTACCACAGAATGGGAGAATCTAAAACTCTTGTCTCCAGTTCTGTTTTTTTGTTTGGAGGGAATAAGGCAAAGCTTTCAATGATGGAAGTCACCACCCTCAGTCTCTATCAGTGCAGATCAGCAACAGTTTAGGTCTCTGTGATGAGAAGGATGCCTCTCTCAATTGTCCAAAGTCAGCATATGGAGTGATGCACTCAAAGATACCAGACATACTACTTTGCTTATACAGGAGTTGCACCCACATGGTAATTTGCCCAGAGAAGATAGTCCTGTGTGTTTTTACAGAAGTAATAAGCAGAACTATGATGGTCTAAGTCTCCTTTTATAGCTTAAGTCTCATGGCTTTATTTCTTACCAAAGGAGTTGAATTTTTGCTGTTCATTACAGGTTTTGGTGCTGTAGAGTACGTGTAGCTGAAGAGGTTTTCTGTCTTCTTTACTGGAACTCCACCACCTCTATCAGATATCTACATAAAAACAAAACAGTCCATCAACGAGGACTAAATATATTTATATAAATTTGAAGTATTGCTGGCTGAATAAAGCCACTAACAAACATATTTCTGTTTGAAAGCTCTTAATGTATAAATCTCAGCCCCAAATCATATTTGGCTGGAGACCACTTGTCTGTTTGTAACTGTCTATAGCCCACAATGCTTCTGTTCCACCACACTAATCCTGCCTACATCAGTGAGACTGTCCAACAGTGAATGAATTATAAACTGCATCTATTGTATTCCCAGTTTGCTAGGTGGTGTATGAAAAAGCTAGCTAAGTTACCTTAATTGATAGATCTTCCTTTCCAAGCACAACAGTCACCTCAACTGGATCAAGAGAGGGCTTGTTTTCCTGATGTTCAACTGTGGCCCTCATTGCATTCTATGAAAAACGAAGATTAAGAATTATTTTCAACATGAAAAGGTTTCATTTTAAAAATTTTGATGCAAAGTATTATTAAAACATTTCTTATCCTAAGAGAGAAAAATGTTTTTAACAGTAGTAAAAACATTGATTGCTTATTTAATTGCCACACAAATGTATTTGATATTTCATTTTGCTATCATCCTATTTATATTATACATAATGTAATAATAATTCCATATATTTTCATTTTCCTGCTTCTGTTCTATGCATTATATCTACTGTAAGGGCTACATTTTAAATGCTTATAAAGAATCACTATAGTCACTCACACTTTCATTTTAGTTAACATGGAGATCTAATGCACACATGAACAAGAAGAATAAAATCAAATGCTGCGTAATTACATATACGAACCTTGAAGAGTTCAAACAACATATGAAAGAGATGAGAAGGTACATATACTATGTGAATAGGTTGTCCATCTGCCTTTCCTGGGAGGAGAAATCACAAACATAGTTCAGCTCATTGGTTTTATTACCCAAGTTTAAATTCAAGCAATTGTTAGTGAAAGCATGTCCACACCAGTTGTTTTTAGTGCAATTTTGATCTCTATTCAAAATTGCTATTTGAGATTTGTTGCCCTTTATTTTTGGACATTTTATCAAAGATTCTACCATACAGAAGAGATGTGTATTTTCCTGTAATTTGTCAGGGAACGGTCCCTGCAATCTTCTTCATAACTGAGAGTCTTTTTTTCAAACTACTTCCACAAAGAATTTGTGTGCATTTTTCTAGTATTGAATCCCACTATTTTACAATCATATGTCAAAATTCTTCCCTCAGTGGCATACTTGGCGATGTCTAGGTAGATGAGTAGAACTATGAAAATTAAGCAGTATCTCTAATGAAAAAAGGGACATGCTTGCAGTTCCAGGGTATGTATAGAGAAAGGAAGATTAGTAACAATTAAGGTACAGAAGGTCTTTTAAAGAGGGGGAACTTATAGAAATAGGGAGGGAGGGGGAAAAACTTACCATTCACTTGAGTAAGTTTTAAGTCTGGAGAAGCAAAGTAGTACTGGTCACAAAGCATCTGGGCACTTTGGAAAGCATCTGAAATTCATTTTAAGGGGGGAGGATTAAGCACTGTTTTAAACAAACAGACACAGCATTACACATAATACCCATTATGTGACTTGGTGTTGTTTAGTACTGCAACACATTTGTGAAATATATCTTCTTAATTTATAGCAAGTTATATCACTGCTGTCTACACTGAAATACTACAAACACAGACCACCACTATGAAGGATTAGAGGGAATTACCCTTACAGAACAATTTCATACATCACTGAGTTAAGTGGTGTGCACTGGATTACAGCCTAAATTCCAATCCAATACTGAATTAGACCAGAATCTCATACAGACATTAGGGCATAGACAAGAGGAGGTGGGACAGGGTATCAATCAACATGTGCAACACCTCATATTGTCAAAGTATAGCTCAAACCGTATCAATCTATGGTAATATGGCCAAATTCATCACTACAATGAGCTGGCCATTTAAGATAAGATTTTTTTGAATGAGCATCTTACATGAGCACTGCATGTCAGCCCTTGATGCAAAGGTAAGGAAAAATTTTGTTCTCCAATGAGAGCTTAGGACAGTCTTGCCACTTAAAAGTTCAGCTGCTCTTACACCTTTTACAACTTGTCAATGCATACATATATATCACTATACTGTATCAATATTATCTGTAGGTCTAACTACATGAAGGCCACTAGGAAGGAACACTAAAAATCTTAAACATACCATGCACAAGATCGACAACATCACAGCAAGGGTCAATACATCCAATATGCTGTGGATTACCCACTGTGTCACTGTTATCAAAAAGTAGAGCTGTTGAAAAGATACAAACTGATTATTCAAAGGAAATTTTCAAGTTGAATGATTATTAGTCAAAGAATAATTTTAGTTGTAGTATCTGAGGTCACATTTTTATCTCAGCCTTCTCACAGAGAACTCAGGGTGACATGTAGGATATTGTTCAGTTTTATTATCCTGTAAAGTATGCTCAGCAGACAGACAGTGACTTACTCAAGTTCACTCAGGGAGCTTCATTGAACTAAACTGAATTTGAATCATATGTTCTCAAGCAAATTGTGGTTTAAAAAACCTCAAGCCAAATTCTAGCTTTTGGATCATAGATTTCCATTATTTCAAATGCTTTGTGTAAACTGCACAAGAATTTTTTTCTCATAAAAACTAACCCAAAATCTGAGCTGGATGAGCTTCTTCTTTGCTACTTTATGTCACTCTGCAGTGTGTCATATTTCATTTATTGCATTCTTTGCTCTTTCTTGATTGCTTTTGACCTATCTTGCAGGTCACATTGACTTCTAAAAATACATAAAGTATTTTTCCTTTTACAGCCCAAAGGTGAACGGTTAATAAAACCCATGTTTCATCAAAAACCTTGTCACATGTTTCAGAAAAACTTCAAAACCTATGTGTCAACTTACTATGCTGGTTTATTAGCATCCGGATGGATATCCTATTCATATAAAATCGATCCAAGAAATACTGAATGTTTTGATTAATGAATGGATCCATTCTAGAGGAGTCTCTGTATTCTAAAACCCCTTGTGCCATTGTGGGTACCACATCATGGTGTCGGTTTCGGACTTTAACAATAGCATCTATAAACCTGTGGAGAAAGAAGGAGAGAGCTATTTAGATATGAAAGAAATGAAAATCAAAACAGAAGTACATTTTCACATTAGTCTTAACTGATGATTTCTCAGTAAACGATGTTTCTCCTACGAAAAGCTACAGCAAAACTACGTAAAACTTAAATGTACATATTATTTTCTTTCACCATCCTTCTGTCAAGAAAACTGAATGTTACCTTGACAGTTTGTAATTCAGCACTGCCTTGTGTGACAATTTCTGCAATGTCAGATGTCACTTGTAGGTTTGTTGTAAGCTTATCTCACTAAATTATACCCAGCCATCTGTGTTCTGAATAGACAAAGTTACTCTCCGCTGTCAATCTGTTATTAAATGTGAACTGAACTTCATAACCTACCAATAAAAACACAGCATAAGAGAACTTACTCTGATAGAACTTTCTGGTCATCTGGTTTCTTTTCACGGAACTCCACTAGTTCCATTAGGCTTTGGACATACCTGTTAAAAACACAATACACGGGTCTTGGGACACAGGAGATACAAAAATTTAATATACAGAATAGTACGTGGGAGTTCTAGCAATTTAGGGTCCCCAAATGGCCCCAAATTAGGAACAAGTACAGAATAGGTTTAGAACAAGGAGAGGGTAGGGAGGGGAGAAGAAACCCATGGTTATCTATCAAGGTTATAAACACTGAAAAACCAAGAAACATTTCTATTAAGGTTTTTATCTTTTGCTTTCTAAACTCTACTTTTTTGATAAAGCTGCAAGTATTTTGGATGTATATAGTATCATCTGATGCCAAGCACCACACAATATCTATAAATTAAATCATGTGCCCCTAAGTCAATTCTGACTTATGGTGACTCTTTTTCAGGGATTTCCAGGTAGAGAACACATAGAAGTGGATTACCATTCCCTTCATGTGGGAGTACCCTGGGATTCCGCAGCTTACCCAAGACCACAGAGGCAGGCTGTTCTCCCTGGAGGCACAGTAGGGAGTTGAACTCCCAACCTCTGGCTCCATAGTCAGATACCTAAACAACTGAGCTATCCAGCTAGGTAACCAGTTTGTGCCTGTAAACCTATGTACAAATATAGGGAATTGAAAAAAAAGGCTGTCTTGGTTCTTTTATACGGATATGAGTAAATGTCATTATCACTACACCTGTAAAAATCAAAACATGTCTGTATCACCTTGATCCATGTTAAACAAGTGCCTGTTTACACTGCAAAATGACTTTGCTGAGCATCTACCAACTGTGTCCACAGCACTTCCTATTCTGTTCAGTGACCTGCTGTCCTAGATAGCCTTACCATCATTCAAATAATATTTTCTTATAATTCAAGTAATGGGTTTCATTTTTATCGCAGAACAAATATATATGTCTTGAAGATTAGAATACAAAAGAAGCATAAAATTGATTATAATTAAATCTGTTAAGAAGCCTGGTACTTACCAGCTTTTAACCAACTGTACAGAAGGAGTGCTCAGCAATGGACTAGGAAGGAGATCAATTTCTTTCAGAATATTTGCTAGCCGCACAGGAAGTTCATGACGAAGAAATGAAAAGGAGGTTCTTTCACATGCATTAGTTGATCCTAAAAAAACATAAAAAGATAGTTTGTTCTCCATTTCAGTGCACTGGTACAGTTCAGGTCAATAACTTCATATCCCACTGTAAGTAAATCTGCTGAAGGTGAAGAGTGGTAAAGCAACTGCTAATTTCTAAAAAAAAATTCTATATAACAGTGATTAACAATAAAAATCAGCAAAAATAATCTGGTGGACTCTTTCCAGCATTTAGATTTGCTTGTCATACATTCTCTAAGGGAGCAGAACTCCATGTATGTTACCAAAAATGTAACAAGAAAATTCAGTTATATATCTTATAGACAAATTATCTGGGTAAGGATTCAGAGAGAAAAATGTTCAAGAAAATAGAGTATGTGCGCCTCTCCGATATGAGTTTAGAATAAATCCTAAATGTGAATGGACTTCACAAAGCTAAGCATGGTGTATTTTTAGTGTGGTTACTTTATTTAAGACTATCTAGTTTAAAGAATGCCTTTGGCTTTTCTCCAAGTCAAAATCATAGGCCTCTGCAGAAAACAGATACTGTATTCCCAAATGAAAAACAGCTGTCCTAACTAATTGTTTACATAGCTTTGGTGTCACTGCAAGCATGTATAACAAACTAACTATATATGAACAAACTAAACATGAGACTAATACTCATCATACCCATTAAAAGACTCATCATGCCCATTAAAAGACTACCAATGGAAGCAACAAAAGCAATGCTGAAGCCCATTAAAGGACTCATATAGATGGCTATTACTTTTGTCATTACAACAGACTGACATAAGATGTACTGTACCATGCAAAGGTCAATGGCTGAATAGTATGAGCACCAAGGAAAAGGTGACAAATCTTTCCTTTGTATAACAGCACCAATGGAAGCAACAAAAGCAATGCTGAAAGTTTTTTGTTTACTTAACCTAAGCTAAAGGAATGGATAGAATCTTGTCATGAGCAGACTCCTTAGAGTTCAAAATAATACAGAAACAAACACAGCTGATGAGACTGTTGTGAATGGCTATGAAATTGCCTAAAAAGAATGATCAAAAAGAAATGTTTTTTTTTTTAAAAAAAGAAAAGCTAAATTGTATCTCTGGCAGTCCAAAAACAACATTTAGCAAGAGTGGGATCAATCTCTGCAATCAAAATGGTTATATTTTGATACTTGCATTCTCCTAGGAAGCTCACGACCAGACACAGGGTGCCCCACCCCAATTTTGGAATGAGAGTCCCTCTTTTCCATAGTCCATGAGCCACCCCTGTATTTAATGGTTGCCCTTCCTAAGAAATGTTTACTTAGGTTTATTGTTTCCAAATGCTTCACATTCCACTTAATAATAAGAGATTTAATGAGAATCATGTTGCATCAAAAGAATATGCAAAGCACTTTTTGAAATGCTACTTAACTGCTCAGTTGCAGCAAGATTGAGGAACAAGTATTATTTCGTGCAAAATATGTTTCCGGACAAAACCAGAAATGCTGTGTAAGAAAGCCATCTGGAAAACCTGTACAAAAGTCTATATATTCAACTGGTTACAGATGAACAGGATTTTTTTCAATACTTCCAAGTACTGACATACAAAGGTAATGAGAGAAGAATCGAAAAACACTTTTACCGGAGTGCAAGAACAACTGAAAGACTAAGAGTGAAAGTCAATCCTTAAAGACTGACAATGCAAACCTCTGCAAGCTTACTCTGAATTGCATCAGATCAGATTCTTGTACCTGGTAAAACACACTGGAAACTACAGAAGTTTCTATTACAATGAATACAAAGTTTTATCGCAAAAAAACTCAACACACTTACCCCACTGGAAGGTGAACGAGAAAGGTGAAAAGATGTGAAGAGAATACTGCAGCTTTCCTCTATCATCCAACCCTGAGATCCTCCTCCAGAAGCCCACTTTCTCACCCTGGCCCAACCTGCCCTTAGTGCACGCTGTATGCAACTAAGCTGGGAGATACACCAACAGATACTTGCCCTTAGTGCACGCTGTAGGCAACTAAGCTGGGAGATACACCAACAGATGTATGTGGGTATGCTCTTTTCCTGACCCACTCCTTGGTCTCCCAGGAGGTACCTGCAATTCGGAAACCCCAAGATTTTGGAGAACCCCAGCTAGGCTGTACCTGCAATTCGGAAGCCCCAAGATTTTGGAGAACCCCAGCTAGGCACAAACCTCCTCATACAGATTCCCACCTCCCCACCTGCGATCTCCAGAACATCTCCATCGGGCATCTCGACCAGCAGGCCATCCTCCTCGCTGTGCCATCACCCTGCAGGGGGGTCACTTCTCAGACAGCAAACCCGATCCCCGCCCCCCTCAAATTAACACAGGTTTAGCTCCCTCACCAAAATCCAGGAACTGCTTGATCGACAGGGGCGACGGAGAATAGCGAGCAAAGTGCTCCACCTCTCGGGTCACTCGCCCCCCGCCGGCAGAGGGGCTCCCACCCGCTGAGGCCAAGGGAGCCGCGCTCCGGAGGGCGATGCGAGCAGCCTTCATGGCTCCTGCCGCGGATGCTTCGGGACAACAAAGGGAGGGATAGCAATGAATACTTCCGACTCGGACTCACTTCGAATCCTCTGGCCTCCCCCCGCACGTGCAGGCCCTATTTACCACCTCGAGCCCTCCCTTCGGGAGGCGGAGCCGCGGGCCAAGCCACGCCCCCCTCAGGCTAACCGTCAGAAACGGACAAAAGTCGGACCCGTCCTGAACTCGTTGGCTTTCGGGGGCACCCTCCGCGCAGGGTATCACGTGATAACCTTTACTCCTTAATTAAAAAGAAATAAATCAGAAGTCTTATACAAGAAGGGAGGTGGGCGTTGTCGTTATATGACTAGTAGGCGTGGCCCCGCCCCGCCTGGGAGGCCGGTCCCTCCGAAGCCCGTTGCCCTTGTTTACACAGTTAGGACAGAGGACACGATGTCAACTTCCCCTTTCCAAGCCACGCCCCCCTCCGTGGTGTTCTTAGTTGATGCTTCCAGGCCACCCGCCCCCGCCGCCGTTCTTAGAACAACCGTCAAAGCTCGCGCTCCAAGCTGCAGGGGAGGGGGAAAACGGGAAGGAAGCGCCGCGCCTTCTCATTGGCTGCTCTGACTACAGCTCCTTTTTTTTAAAAGGTTAAAACCAATCGGAAGGCTCGAGCTCTCTCTCTCTCTCTCTGGCTTCGGGTGGCAGTCGCGGCCGCGGGATAAACAAGTCGGTGCGATTCCTGAGGGAAGGGGAGAAGAGAGCGGGGCGGGGTGTTATTTCCAAGAAGGGCGAGAACATTCGGAGCGCCCGAGATGGGGCGTCCTGCCAGCCTTGGCATGGAAATCAGGCTGAGGGGGGTGTGGGTGTGGGTGTGTGAGGGCGGCAGCACGTTGTGGCGGCTCGCTCACCTGCTGAAAGCGAGCTGCTTTCCGAAGCCCTGTCGTTTCCCACAGAAAGTGCTAAAGATGGATACACCACCTCACTTCGTGCACAAATAGCGATATGCTCTGTCCTGGGGAGAGAGGAGCCTTTTTAAATATTTGTGTGTGTACTGTTTTTTAGCTTTTAAAAATTGCCATTTAATGATGGGTCCTTTTTAAGAAGAAAGGTGGGGAATGAATTATTGAATGAATTAGAAGAGTGTTTGCAGACTACTGTTTTTCTCTTCAACTTTTGGAATTTTCATGTCACAAACTTATTGTTTGGGAAATTGAAACATTGGGGAGAATGCTAAAATGGCAATTACGGTAGATGTATTGGTCCATTAGCATCCCTCTCCCCACTTTCCCCAGCATCCACAGGTAAGAGGACAGCACTCCACTCCCAAGCCAACTACACCAGAGCACAGAGTGCTGTCCTCTGAAGATGCGGGCCACAGGGACTCGCGAAACGTTAGGAAGAACAACCTTCAGAACACGGCCAAAGAGCCCGAAAAACCCACAACAACCATTAGACCCTGGCCGTGAACGCCTTGGCGAATACAATTAGAAGAGTGTTTGCATACTACTGTTTTTCTCCTCAACTTTTGGAATTTTCATGTCACAAACTTCTTGTTTGGGAAATTGAAACATTGGAGAGAATGCTAAAATGACAATTGCGGTAGATGTATTGGTCCATTAGCATCCCTCTCCCCACTTTCCCCAGCATCCACAGGTAGCAGTAACTAAACTCTCACAAATTAGTGACCAAGCTTTTGAGTTCCCCAGGGACTGGTCTTCATGCTGAAGGTTAAGCTGTCCTAAATAAACAAGACTACGTGCTGCTTTTATGCTACTGCTTTCCCCTCTGCAGCAGATTATCAAGTTACCTGTCTGGAATGTGCGTTTTTGCAATTCACTGAAAAAGTCACACATGGACATGAAACACAGTCCTAATGGTGCAATCCTAAACCCCACTTATCAGGGTATACACCTCATAAAACTTTCCCTTTGTGCAGAAGCACCAGGTTTACTTACTTTCATCTTAGACATTACACAGATCATTATCTTACTTCTTAACGAGATTAGATTGTGTTAGTACAGAAACAATATATGGTTGCCCTCTGGCCTCAAGCAATACCTAATATAGTTAAAACTGTAGCCAATACACCTCTGAACTCAGAGGAATTCCAAGGAAAAATGTAGTCAAGGCCTGTACCTGGCCATTCCCTGTCTGTTATTCCAAATGTACAAATGAATTCCAGTTGTTTGAAAACTTAAAAGAAAGTATGACTTTCAAATCTGTTGTAGAACATCAGAGAGGGCATCTGAGTCTCTTAATTTTTTCCTGAATATTATTTTAATATTTGATTTCTATACATTTAGTCTTGTGTAAAAATTATCTGGTTTGACCTAGGTAAATGACAAAATGCCATTGCTTGCATAAGGTGCTATATATCATGTTAGAAAACCTGTAACTAATAACACTGCCCAAATATATAGAGCTGGTACAGGGGTTTGCTGCAGGGATTTGTATCTTTGTTGAGTAGTTACTTTTTACTAATGAAAAGCTGGTTAAGGTTGGTGTTTGTTTGCTTTCCACCTAAAATTTATGCAAGGAATGATGCTCATCTGGAAAAGGTTATGAGCTAAGAACTTTAGATAAGAACCAGTGAATTTCTGTTACTTTCTTAACAAATGAGCCCTGTACAGCAGTAGGTTACTTGTTAATCTGTAGAGAAAATTGCCTTTTAAATCTGTTTCTTCCCCAGATGGACAACATTGATTTAATTATGTTTGATATAAGTCCTACAGGTATTTGTTATTATCTGAAGGACCAGCAAATTTGTTCATTATAATTCATGATTCTGACAGCATGGTTACAAAAAAAGAGAAGAAAGTATTCACTATGAAGCGTTGAGAAACTGCACCAGAATTTAAACAGTTCTGTACCTCCCCCATCAAATTGACTGTGCACAAGGCAATAAATACATCAGGTTCACTTTTTGCCCATCAGCCTGGAAGTACAGTTTACATAAGTACCATCTTATACCTGCATGTAAGTTTTTCTCTTCATTTCTTTTATTCTCTTGTATGTACTGGTTGGTTCTCTGTTTCACACATGCCCTCCATCTGGTGCAAAATGTTGCTTCTGTAATGCACATGACTGACTGGAACAATTAGATATTTTCCAGGCCTTGCTATCAAGCACTGCCTATCTGAGCAGGGAAAAAAATGGGGGATTATCAGTGAATCAATTAGACAAGGAGCTGATATTTTCCGTACTAAATTCTCATGATTTGTTAATCATATTTGTAAATAAAGACTTTGCTAGATTGTAGTCTAAAGCAAACTTATCTGGAATATAAAAACATTCCACATATGATTAACAGAGGCACACTGGCTGCATTTTTATTCTCACACTGAGAATGTCCTAAATACATTTCCATATGCTACACTTTGCATTCATTCACTATGTATCAATAAGCTACTGATTTCAAAGGTTTTTGTTTTCTGAGTTATACAATTGCAAAAAGATATACTTCTACAATATATTATCAATAATTCACAGTATAATTCAGCTGCTGCAGTGTGTGAACTAATTAGCACGGAGGCTTAGCATGCATGTGCAAACATTTATATACATGTATACAAAAGTAAAAAAAATTCTAGATGCTCAGGAAAGGAAAGGAAATTAAAGACTACTAACTTGAGAAATTCATACACAAAATTGATAATAAGATCCTACAATATATTATCAATAATTAACGGTATAATTCAGCTGCTGCAGTGTGTGAACTAATTAGCACGGAGGCTTAGCATGCATGTGCAAACATTTATATACATGTATACAAAAGTAAAAAAAATTCTAGATGCTCAGGAAAGGAAAGGAAATTAAAGACTACTAACTTGAGAAATTCATACACAAAATTGATAATAAGATACATGTAAAAGGAAAACAATACATAGAGATGATTAGGACCAGGAAACGTGTGCTGTTCCTGCCAAACTGGGATAATTGGCACACATGGATTTAAGTGTCATTAAACCATGTGGCCTTCTAAACAAGGGTGCATTATGATTAAAACAAGTGTTTGGTGAACACATTCAGGAATCTATATACTGTATTCATTCTAACGTGGACAACTGCTGACTTAATGGCATTTTCTTAGAGTTCTTCATTTGTTTGGTTACTAACTAGTGTTATCTTATTGGGTGTTACTTATTTCACTTCACTTGGTTTTCCACACTTAAGCCTAGCATTTTCTAAATATATTCTGCTCATTTTGGATCTTTACACAGCTGTGAATTCCTGTTTCCCTGGTAGCAAAGTTGACATAAACAAAGTGAGCAGTTACTGTTGCAACCTTATACATGTCTACTGACAAATAAGTCCCATTGACGTAGTCTGTGTGCCATCAGGTCAATTCTGACATATAGTGACCCTTTTCAGAGTTTCCTAGGTAAAGAGTGCTCAGAAGTGGTTTACCTTTCCCTTCTTCTGGGGTCATTGTAGGACTATACAGTTTGCCCAAGTCCGCATAGGTTAGCTTTTCTCTTGGAAGGCACAGTGGGGAATTGATCTCCCAACCTCTGAGCTATCCAGCCAGCCAATTGAAGTAGGGGAGCAAAATTGACTGCAGGCAGAATCAAGAGGCTGAACAGTAGGCATACCATGTAAAACCATAGATTAATGGCAGCTACTTTTCAAATACAATTATATTGGTAGAGAAAGCTATTTGGATTAGGTTAGTTAAAGTTTGTTTAACTTGCCTGCAAGGCACAGGCTGTTATTCTGCAAATGGCAATAAACATTAATGGAGTTGTTTTTGAGAAATGTCATTCCATGTAATGATCGACTAAAGTTGGAAAGTAATCAAAAAAAAATAATATGTAGATTTCCCCCCGCAAAGATTGGTTTAGTAAGTTTGCGGTCTGATCACACAGCCAGTTTGGACTGGTCAGAATATTCTAAATGGAATTTTATTTTAAATTTTCTACACTGTGAAGCCACTCCTCAACTAAGTAAACAAGCAAAAAACACCCTCAGTTGTTCTACGTACACATTGTGAGCTAGAGATGTAGGTTCTTAGTCCAGCTTTCCCCTATTGATAAGCTATGCTAAATTTAATGCACAAATAGGGAAGCTTTGTCAGCTTGCTGACATAGCAGACGTTTTATCTGAATGTGAAGTTCAGTAGAGTAAAGTTCATCAGGCTGCAAACAAAGACTTTCCATTTAGTCTGCCCAGTGCTGAACATGGAACAGTGCCTCCACAGCTGGAGAAGTAGGGGAAAGGTCATCTCTAGCTGCCAAGGCGTTAAACAGCATCCTCCCCACTTCTCCTTTTTCGCAATAGTCAGTACAGTGTTTGGATTGCTTTCCTACTGCATTTATCCTTGCAAGCTAGATGTAAAAAATATGTCTGCTTCAGGAACAAACATTTATGTCCTAGAGAGAAGACAGCCGCTTGTATTTTTGTTCACTTGTAGAACAGTTGTTTATTTCTCCTCTTCAGAACATGGTTAAACCTTGCCTAAAAACAGGT